CCTTTGTCACCTTTGTCACCTTTGTCACCTTCCTTTGTCACCTCTGTCACCTCTGTCACCTTTGTCACCTTCCTTTGTCACCTTTGTCACCTTTGTCACCTTCCTTTGTCACCTTTGTCACCTTCCTTTGTCACCTTTGTCACCGCTGTCACCTTTGTCACCTTTGTCACCTTCCTTTGTCACCTTCCTTTGTCACCTTTGTCACCTTCCTTTGTCACCTCTGTCACCTTTGTCACCTCTGTCACCTCTGTCACCTTTGTCACCTTCCTTTGTCACCTTTGTCACCTTCCTTTGTCACCTTTGTCACCTCTGTCACCTTCCTTTGTCACCTCTGTCACCTTTGTCACCTTCCTTTGTCACCTCTGTCACCTCTGTCACCTTTGTCACCTTCCTTTGTCACCCTTGTCACCTTCCTTTGTCACCTTTGTCACCTTTGTCACCTCTGTCACCTCTGTCACCTTTGTCACCTTCCTTTGTCGCCTTTGTCACCTTCCTTTGTCACCTCTGTCACCTTTGTCACCTTCCTTTGTCGCCTTTGTCACCTTCCTTTGTCACCTCTGTCACCTTTGTCACCTTCCTTTGTCACCTCTGTCACCTTCCTTTGTCACCTCTGTCACCTTTGTCACCTTTGTAACCTTCCTTTGTCACCTTCCTTTGTCACCTCTGTCACCTTCCTTTGTCACCTTTGTCACCTTCCTTTGTCACCTCTGTCACCTCTGTCACCTCTGTCACCTCTGTCACCTTTGTCACCTTCCTTTGTCACCTGTGTCACCTCTGTCACCTGTGTCACCTCTGTCACCTGTGTCACCTGTGTCACCTGTGTCACCTCGCAGAAGAAGAGGAGGAGAAGGATTGACCGTTCCATGATCGGGGAGCCCATGAACTTCGTCCACCTGACACACATCGGCTCCGGAGACATGGCAGCGGGGGAGGGGCTGCCCATGGTACCCCAAAACTGGGGCTGGGGGTCAGGGTGGGGGTGATGGGTTTTGTTTGGGGTGCCGGGGCTCTGGGTTGGGTGATGGGTGCTGTTTTGGGGTGCTGGGGGTCAGGGTTCAGTGATGGGTGTTGTTTTGGGGTGCTGGGGCTCCTGGCTGGGCCAGGGGGTGGCACATGGGTGACAGTAGGTGACACAGTGGGTGACACACAGGGTGACAGAGAGGGTGACAGTGGGTGACAATGGGTGGCACAGTGGGTGACAATGGGTGACACACAGGGTGACAGAGAGGGTGACAGTGGGTGACAATGGGTGACACAGAGGGTGACACAGAGGGTGACACAGAGGATGACACAGGGGGTGACAATGGGTGACACAGTGGGTGACAATGGGTGGCACAGTGGGTGACAGTGGGTGACACAGTGGGTGACACAGAGGGTAACACAGAGGGTGACACAGTGGGTGACACAGTGGGTGACACAGAGGGTGACACAGAGGGTGACACAGGGGGTGACAATGGGTGACACACAGGGTGACAGTGGGTGACAGTGGGTGACAGTGGGTGACACACAGGGTGACACAGAGGGTGACACAGAGGGTGACACAGGGGTGACAATGGGTGACACACAGGGTGACACAGTGGGTGACACAGGGGGTGACACAGAGGGTGACACAGGGGGTGACACAGAGGGTGACACAGTGGGTGACACAGTGGGTGACACAGGGGGTGACAGGGAGGGTGACACGGGTGACACAGTGGGTGACACAGTGGGTGACACAGGGGGTGACAGTGGGTGACAGTGGGTGACACAGTGGGTGACACAGAGGGTGACACACAGGGTGACACACAGGGTTACACAGTGGGTGACACAGTGGGTGACACAGAGGGTGACAGTGGGTGACAGTGGGTGACAGAGAGGGTGACACAGAGGGTGACACAGTGGGTGACACAGGGTGACACAGGGGGTGACGGGTGACAGTGGGTGACAGTGGGTGACACAGGGTGACAGAGAGGGTGACAGTGGGTGACACAGAGGGTGACACAGAGGGTGACACAGGGGGTGACACAGAGGGTGACACAGAGGGTGACACAGAGGGTGACACAGAGGGTGACAGTGGGTGACAGTGGGTGACACAG